GTTTCCCTCCACTGGCAGGAATTGTACCTGTAGTCATATCTAAGTGCAGATTTTACAAGAAGAGCTTTTGTTTTGGTGAAATGATAACATATGTCCAACTCTTTTCATTCCTCTTACTCCCCCTGCTCATCAAAACAGTGGATTGCATAAGACGGAAGCTGCTCAGCAGTGTGTTACTTCCTGACTTCATTTACATTAGTTTCCTAAATTCTAAGCATAGAATAAGCTTTAAAAACAGACTTTTACCAAAGACTAAGATTCATTTTGGTGCATCATCCCAGAAATCAATGTAATATTAGATTAGATGCATTTATTATCATTTTACCAGAATAGACAATGTTTGAGAAAAGTAAAACTTAAAACAAAGGCCCAAGAGCCATCAGCAACATGTAGTTGGTGGGTTGGTAGTTAGTGTTGAAGTTCATCATACACCCATACGGTGGCGATGTTGTCAAAGAAATTCAGCATAGCAACAAAGCGAAATGGTGCTTGTAGTTTTTCCCCCCTCCGTTTTATAAATCAACTAAATGAATACCTATAATGTAAACCTGCGTTTTAGGTAACAACTGTACAGACAACCTAAATAATTTAGCACTAAAAAATAAAAATTCACGTGAGTTCGACAAAGTTACACATATGTTGCCTTAAAGTGCTGTGGGAAATTTAGGGGGCGCATTAATGATTGATAAATCTGAATACATAAAACGCCACAAGACATGAGGAGGGAAGAGATTAAGAAGAGAGCATACAATCAACAGCTGATTTTAAAATATCAAGTCAACAATCCGGACTGGTTTGTACAAAATGGAAACAGTTGCTAAATGCCAAGCGTATTACATTTTCTATGATCACATCAGTAACTGTGAATTATCATAACAGCCACAAAAAAAACGTGGTACAGAATAAACTGGAATAAAATGTTTTCACCTCATTTTATTATCAATTATTTCCCTCTAAAAGTAATAGCAGGTATTTTTCACCACATTGACACTTGGAATGCGGACCTTGCGATGAGTCCGTGAACGCAACGAGTACCGTCCAACATGGCGGCCCAGCGTAGGAATTTGATGCAGAGCGTGAGTGAAAACTCAGCTTTTATTCACTCTCACTGAGCTGTAGTGTTAGTGTTAGTGCACTGCGCTCGTACGGCACTTTGGTCTACTTTATCTGCCCCGGTGGTCGTCTTTGTTTGTGTTCTGTTCAGTGTTTCTCGTACAGATACAGATACAGATGCTAGTGCTAACTTGAGTTTAAGAAGTGGTGTGCTAACAGCTAGCTGGTCCAACTTTAATCTCAAAATAATGAGATTTATTAAGAGTCTAATCACCGAGGTCACCTGAGATTAGTAAAGGTAGCAGGGGGTAACTGTGTGACCGGTACTAACGTGTCACAGCGCCGCGTAGCTTTAACACCATCAGTGAAATACTCCGAGGCAATTGGTTAACTAACGTTAGCTAGCGACTTTTGCAGAGATGGTGGCTCAAAGGGAACACTTTGCATTTTGCGTTTGTTAAACTACCTGTCACTCCTGTCGTGATATGAGTGAGCACCGCACATCGTTTTAAACCAGACTGGGCTCTGTAGCTTTGTTCCAGTAACCCAATTCGGAGAGGAGCTCGTTAAAGTTGAGTTATGGAAATCAGAATCAGGTTTTACTGGACAACTAATGTGTGCAGACATGAAGGAGTTTGACTCCGGTTTAAGTTGCTCTCGGTGTACTTGCACACACGTCCATGGACACTTTACAGAAAGATAGAGATAGACAGCCACATACAGTTTAAACCAACACAGCTGAACAAAGATTGGTAACATACAGAACTATAAAGCACATATGAGTAGAGAAACAATAGGTCTATATATACATGAATATAAATAAAAAACAAATAAACTGATATACATTAGGTTGGTGGTTATGTACAGTGTGTGTGTGTCTTTATACAGCCTGCAGTTTTAAATCAGAATTACATTTTATGTTATTGTTTGAAACTGCGTGGAAATACACATTATTACACATTATTACACATTATTACACATTATTACACAACACAACTTGT